CCGCCTTCCTTTCCATGCCTCGCTCGCGCTCGCAGGCGTCCACACTCTTGGGCAAGCAGCGCGCCCGCACCTGGCCTGCAACTCCACACTTCGCACCTCACAGCCCTCCTCCACGCACGTACGTACTCGCTCTTTAGCGGCGCGTTCAGCTCTCTTTAGGAAACATTTGTGCCTAGAATCGATTTAAACTTCTAAAACCAAGTAGATTCAATCACCAAGTAGATCACTGCAGAGAATTGATTCATTTTCAACAAGAGTGTTTCAGGTGAAACAACAAGATGGTAGTATGAAATAATGTGGACAGAAAATGTTGCGTAGACACGTTTCACATTTTCAATTAGTACGAGTTACAGGTGTTTGAAATTAATAAATAGTTCATGAGATGTGTTCATACAACATTTTCAGTTCGAAATATTGTATTCTACCATCTCCTAACGTGTTACATAGTTAAAGCATCTCTGAGTCTTAATTTAATATCGGTGTGGTTCAAAGACACTTTTTGAACCTTATAGCTTCTAATATTGAAAACATAATTTTATTCGTTACACAAATTTATTTGTGAATAAATTATGTATGTATTCACAAATATATTCACAGATATAAAATATAAATATAAATAGATTCGTACATAAGCTATTCATACATAAGCTATTGATTAAATTTTGAAAAACCTTTTTCATTTAAGAGTTGCATGTAAATGCATTCTCTGTCTTGTCAACAAAAATATTGGCAACACTGATATATATTTAAGATTAACATTTCAAAGATAAAAAAGCACGCATGAAAAATTTTGAAGTCAACGATGTTTTGAAAGAATATTTTTGTAACGCATCTGATAGATCTTAAAAGGTTGTGGTTTATTACGTGGCGAAATAATGTATGCTAGAGAACTATTCTATTACCCTTTCATAATTATAAATGTCTTTATTTCCTTTAAATACATCTGTATCACGGACGTAATGGACATTATGTCCATTTTTGGTAAAATGCTATTCCTAGAGGTATTGAGAGCTTGCCGAAAATTCATTCATTACGAAGTTAGAAGAAGCCAAAGCCACACCATGTGCTTTTATTCACTTAGTTATACACTTTTACTCTATTCTCCTGTAAAACTAGAAGGTAAATGTGACTTATTCTCATTTTCCTCCAACGAACAATTATGTGTCCACGTTACTTCAAGAAGGAGCCCACACAGAAGTGTGATAAAAATAAATTAAGATTATAAATCGAAAATGGTACTATAATAAGAATTGTCGCACTTCAGAAGACTCTTCCGATTACTCTTTGTTTCGTAGATCTCAGCAATACCATGGCGAATGCTCTGATGGTGTGTCTAGCCTTGCTCGTTTTGTCATCACTCAAGACGCTCACGGCGCTATTCACAAAGGAAGCTAATTCAGCATCGGTAAGTTTGGGCGATCATCAGAACCAAAATGTAGAAATTTAACAATAATAATAATAATAATAATAATAATAATAATGATAATAATAATAACAATAATAATAATATATTATATATCTATGCAATAAAAAAATTATACTGCGAACGTATGCTCATTTTATTGAAGAAGCAACTCAACAGTAAGATGATACTTGACGGGAACATCTTGGGTGAGCCACTCTGCTCAGAGAAGATATTTTTAAATAAGTGGAAAGAACGTTTGTTGATTTAAATCAGTATTTAAAAACAACAATTTCGTATACATTCAGATTTAAATAAAAAATAATTTAAAACATTTTTATGACAATCAGCTTTTACATATTTGTAATGATAATCAAAGTGGCTATGATTTAAATTGATTGATATATGGTTTCCGTCATGTCAAGTATTTATAAACTAAGCGTACCGGGTAGTAGGGCAGTAAGGGATATTACATTTGATAATTAAAAAAACTGTTATGAAAAACACCCGTGAGACTCGCGTTCAATGACTCACGTGATTTAAATGGAGTTTGCCCTGCCCGTAAAATGTTATAATGTGTTGTTGTTGTTTTTTCAAATTTTATATTTGTTGAATTTGTCCCCAAAACTCCTCATTGTATATGAAGGCCTTGGTCCTGAAACAAGATAAGTCACAGCTAATTGTAAACGTTAACATCTCGAGTTACTTCCTCAAGCAATTTTACTTACTCAAGCCCTTCATATACACTCAGGAGACATGTTTAATAACTAAACAAAAACAACACTCTCTGACGAAAATGGAGCTATTAATGGGGCACCCAGGCCAACCTATAAAATTCAATAGGGGCCCTATTCCCCAACGTTATAATCAATTTTATTTCCGTAAATACTCGTATCTTCAATTCCTTATTTCCCCCTTTTTAAGATGATCATTTGGAGAATTTATTCTCGTAAATTGGCATCAATTTCTCCAAAATATCTGGCAACCCTGCAAATGGTGCAACATAAAATAAATAATTACATTAATTAATTGCATCATTCAAGTTATACTTTCATTCTTCCTGTATGTTATATCTTCTAGTAAATTGTGATAGTCGTGTGTAAATGAATCAGTTTAATGGAAAAGCGAGCCCAGAGAGGCTGAGTCGTGTAGTTGTTTTAGGCTATGCACGCTATGCATTTCCGTGGCGCCGCTTCAAACGAAATATCTGAGCACGATTGATTGGCGTGGTGCAGGAGCTGAGCGCGTGGAGCGGCGAGGAGGAGCTGGAGCGCGGCGCCTGCGCGCGGCCGGAGGAGCGCAGCCCTCGGTCCCTGGGCCAGCTCTTCGGCGGCGGCGGCGGCGGCGTGGGCGGCGGCGACGGCAGCGTGGACCTGCTGTCGCTGCGCGCCATCTTCGACATGGCGCTGGGCGTGCTGGGCGCGCTGCGCCGCGGAGCGGAGGTGGACGTGGAGCGCGCGCGCGCAGCCGATGCCCAGCAGCGCTACTAATAATAGGGCCCCGTCGCGCAGCTGCTGCGCGCCTGGGGACTTTGAAGGCGGCACTTCACATTCGGCTATCAGCCGCGTGGAGCGTGCACGCGCCGCCGTCGCGCAGCAAGACTACAGATGAATGATCCCGGCGCGCAGCCGCTGCGCGTGTGAGACTTTGCTCTAAAGGTGACTCCTCACATTCGGCGAGCAGCGAGTGACCCTTGCCCAGTCCCTAGTAGTCGAGGTGCTCGGCGGGTGTTCGCTTCCTTTGATGCAATCAAAAGGCCGACACTCTTCGGGTTGGGCGAGCACCGAATGTTTGGCGCTCAGCAAGGAGTAAGCGACCCGTCCACACACTTCGGCGTTCAGTGATCGGTCGCTCGCTACTCGCAGAAAGCCGAATGTGTGGTGCCGCCTTAAGATAGGCCAGCTCAACCACCTGGATTCCGAGCATCGTGATCTGAAAACTGCCCGGGAGATTCCATTCTCCTCTTACTCTTCGTCGAGTGGCCCGCGGCAACCACCACTGCGAACCTGACCTTTTCAGAACTGAACCTGGAACATTAAGCATAACCGCAGTGATGATGCCCTGAAACTGCCCTGGGCGATGACCCTAGAACCACAGTTTTGAGCAAGCCTGCTTTCCAAGGAGAAATCCCCATTTAAACACAGTGAAATGTCCTAAATAATTCGGTACACTTTTTGAAACTCTGAAGTTGTTTGTGCTTAAAACAGGTATTTCTTTAAAATAAAGTGACGCTCTGAATTGTACTTAAGTGTAGTTATCATCTGTTAAAGTCATTAATAGACTACAAAACATAGCTGTGTGTTTAATTCTGATTCATAGTATGACTATTGAAAATGTTAAGTTTAACTATAAAATATCATCAAAATTAAAATAAATTTGTTTATTTGGTGTTTGAAAGCATTAGTTATTGAGTTGGGAAGTGCAACGGGGGACAAGTTTCTTTAAGCAGCGTTCAGAGGAAGAACATCAAAACTTGGCCTCAGGTAACAAGCCATTGTGTATTGGAAACTGTTTGCCTTCGTGTTATTCAAGTACAGTAACAGAAGTACACTAACATAGGAATACTCTTATCCTAAAAATATCGGTGTCTGTTAGTTTAAATGAAAGTAACAAAATATATTAAGTTTTTATTATTTGTTTCTTAAATGTTTTCGTTTCTTTTGATTGATTTATTATTGGTCAGCGGGAGCGTCAACTGCTAAGGTCATTAGACCCTTAAGTGTAGGGCATGTTTTTTCTCGGGAGGTGGCGGAGAACTTCCCCCGCTGGATGGCGAGGTCCGACGCCTACCTAATTAGCTAGTGTGGATATCTCCAACAAGGTATCTCCCACCCGCGAGGCCCAGCCGGGACAAGCTTGAAGTTCCCTACCGGTCTCCTGACATGTGTGGTAGTATGTATGTGTGAGTGCATGTATGTAAGGGGTGAGGATATGTCAAGAAAGAGGAAGGAATGATCGCGCGCTGTCAGTAGCCTATGTGTTTGGGTACTGTTCCAGTATTTGCCTGATGTTAATTGAAGAAACTACGGAAAACTACCGATCAGAGCAGCCGGCCACTAGAATTATCCTCCAGACAGCGACTGAATTCAACGTAGCTATCAGGTGTGGAAAATCGTGCTACCGTCGGAACTCGACCCAGAACCTCCCGATCATAAGCACTGCAGTGACATACGTTCATGCCCTAAACCACCTCTCTCTGTGCAAATGTGTTCGTCGTTTCTTTATTTCACTATACTAAATGTATTTTTTGCACAAGTTCAGTATCTTACATACGAGTACTTTTTAATGGATTAAATATGTTTCATTATTACTTATTGAAAATAGACATATAAGCGGATTAAGATGTTAGGCATATTTATAGTACGGCACATTAATAAAAGAACAGACTACATTTCTGTGTTGGGAAAATCCTTTTTTATTCATACACAGTTTTTATTTGGATTTTTTTGTAATGGTCATGCGAACATTATTGACACACGGTTCGATTTTTTTGTCTCTAAATACTTAGTTTATACTTTTTTATTCACAATAATACTAATTATACACTTAACTACCACGTCCGTTAATACTTTGCTGAAGCAAAATCTCTTGCAGTCGTTTTCTTCCTGTGTGTGAAACTTAAATGTATATATTGAACTATACTCATATTTATTCAGCGTACGGTTTTTTTTCTTCTCGTAATCAAGGTTCTTTTTTTAAGGACATCTCGTTTAGAATGTGTTGATAACGAAGTGTGTTGAATGAATCGACTGGCTACTGTCCATGGACAACTGGTCCGTTATAATACAGATATCTGCCACACGTCATTGTCAAACACAGAAAACACAAACATTACAGATAGGAACTTATCGTTACGCCTAACGAAATTTCATGAGATACACTACCAGACTCAATTATAAGCAATATTTTGATATCCTCAATTCTGTGGGTACGAGAAGAAGTGATTACTCATATATTTCTGGTAACAGTAATATTGCTATGGCAAAACAACTTGTCGCATTATAAGTATTGTAGAATATTTCCTGACACAATATAAGTGTACTATAGATTTAAAACAAAGACTATTTAAAAGATATTTAAAACTATAAAGACTAGAAATGTTTCATTTATCTAAGTGAAAAATAATTTTAAATTTTCCACCAATAGCTGGAAGAAAGGCTTATTTGACTTCCCTTAATGACAAACCTTTGCTACTTACGAACTACCAATACTGCAGGATAGCTGAGTACATTTTTATTTTATGAAATAACAGAAGTTGGAGCGGATATCTTTCAAAAAATATCAGATAACCTTTTAATATCTTAATAAACATTTCTCCACTAGAACCGCGCATTGCTTTGTCATTCATGATTTATTTTAAAAAGTCTCTCGACAACTTACAGCAACCTATAAAGTTATGTATTCTGCGAACTATGAAAATTGATAAACAATGCTCTATCATTTAGTATCCTTTACTTGTACGTATCATTTTATGAGCCTCTATCTCTGTGTATGTATTACCACTGGTTTATTCTTAACATTCATAGGAGAAATCAGTTTCGGTTAATACTATTTTAGTATATTTGCGTACATGTATTCTTATCATTACAATAAAAATCAATTAATATCAAATCCGAATAAAGAAGCAGTTTGCATTAAGCACACCTTCGGCAGACAGATATTTCAAGTAGTTTGATATAGTTCTAGTTGAGAAGATTAATGCGCTGTTGATGAAACCCGCGAGAGCTGATCACGTTTACCAAGGCAGAGGTCATGGATTCGAAACATACGATTTCGATGTCACTTATCTCTTGAAAGGAAGTTTCACTTAAGAACTTTATTTTCTCTTATTTTAGTTACGTTAATTCTAGAAATCCATGCCGGTTTGCTCCCTATTTTGTCTACGAGTCGGGCTTTTAGAACGTTTTTAGCTCTTTAAATGAATTTGTGTTGTTTTGTTCGCAATCACCCACTCTGAGATCATACGAATCTCTGATGCTCAGTCGGAAATAAGTTTTGGGGTTAGACCATTCAAGGATGGGAATTAGCCCATCACTCGGCATTAACAATGGGAGAGAGGACATGAGGATCATTCTTCAGGGGGTTGCCGCTCCGGCATTCGCCGGGATGTAATTAGGGAACCAGAGAAACCACCAATCGAGACAGGTCTCTCGAACCAGGCAGGGACCACGAACCGATGTCCAACATATGAAGTAAATTTCCGGCTGGCACCGCTGCATTCTGCTGTTTTCCACACTATATTTTTGATTCTTCTCTATCCGTTTGTAATAAGGTCTGGTTCTCCGCCTTTCACCCGCTACACACTACAATTTTCATTTTCCACACTAGTCTCTCTCTCTCTCTCTCTCTCTCTCTCTCTCTCTCTCTCTCTTTCTCTCTCTCTCTTTCTCTGTCTTTCTCTCTCTTTCTCTCTCTCTTTCTCTCTCTCTTTCTCTCTCTCTTTCTCTCTCTCTCTCTCTCTTTCTCTCTCTTTCTCTCTCTCTTTCTCTCTCTCTCCTTCTCTCTTTCTCTCTCTCTTTCTCTCTCTCTCTCTCTCTCTCTCTCTCCCTCGTACGCACACACGCGCACGCTTGCACACACACACACACACACACTCACACTTACGATTTATTATAAGTCTTCTGATTATATTTTGTTTCGTCAGGTTTTATGTTCAGAAAATTCCGATTTGGAAGTAATATATTTAATGATCAATTATTGAGTCATACAAATCCAAACAGTTATGCAGAAAACTTATAGGATACCTGTACTTCCCTTTGATACTGGCAATGATACATTTATTTCTATAATAAGTTTGTAAATGAATCGATACCACCCATCTGCATCCATTCTACTCCGATACTGGTGTCGATACTTCGAAAAACCGAATCTTGCCGCTGTCTTGCCCTAAAGCAGCGCGAAGCATCCTCTGTTTGCTCACTGGATGTCTTCGAGAATTCGTCACCTGACGCGGCAAGCCGGAACGCCAACGCCGAAAGAAGAGTCGGTGGTGGGAGCGGGGGTTAAAGAGAGGGGGCGGGGACGTGATCTCTTGCGCCAGCGCTGACGGAGAGGGCAGTACGAGAAAAGAAAATATCCAAAACAAAATGGAGACACAGTGTGTCGCAGTAAGGCAGATAACCAAATGACACCATCATCGCGCACAGGATATTTTCGGAGCTTTGAAACGCAAAACAACAACAACAACACACATAATGATTTTATGTAAATAAAAATACGAGTTCATAAAGTTAATATGATTTGTTTTTATTTTATTCCAGAATCGTCTTTATACCCATATTTAACTTACATTCTTACAGAAATCTGTAAGCCACAGCAGTACTTCTTATTTGCATGCAAATGATGTGCGTTATAAAAACATTAAACTCATTGTTGTTTTAAGAAAAACTACATTTTTTCTTTCAGAAACATATACTTTCATTTTCCAGGAGCCGCTAGAGACTACAAATGACACCTTTGCTACAAAATAGCAGGCTAGCTAAACGTATTTTACTATCTTAATTTAAAAGTGTATTCAACTTGTTATACATAACGTTTGTACCCATAGGATGGGATCTGCTTCAGTTACAAGTTTTAGATACAATGTAATGGTTGGTATACCCCCGTTAGATACAAGGCTTACCTTAGGCATGGCACATCAGTATTAATTTTTCGGAGAGAAGTATATTATACGGCTTGTTTCCACACTAACACTTTATACACATTAGGCCCTACTCCTGATAAACTCTTACTCTGACGTGAACTCTGTCTGTCTGCGATTCCTTACGAATCCATTGCTTTGTCAATATTATAGAATAAATTATGAATCCTGCGTAGAAGTCTAAGAGAAGTATGCAAACAAATAGGTAACATTATGCCATTCTACGTCGTTATTCTTGAAGAAAGGAAACAAATAGTGAAAATGTCAATGAATATTCCTATTTCAAATCAAATGTCAATAAATATTCATTTTTCAAATCAAAAGAGACTCAATCCAAGTAACATAATTTCATTACATAGACAGTAATTGAACTTTTTTCAATTTCAGTTTCAGATTTCAGATAATGTATAATATTTCTCCTAACATTATTTTATAATAGTTGTTTTCGGTTTGTAGAAATTTAACATTTTTCACGCTTATAAGATGGTTATTATTGATTCCATTTTTCATAATAGTGCTATGTTTACCAACTGAAATTTTTCTGTTGCCTTTGAGTTCTTTTACTCTAGTTTTAATGCTCACTTTGTAGTTCCCACATAAGAAGAATTGCATCCCATTTCTTTACAAGAAATTATATAAGCCTATGTCTAGGTTGAGAGGGGGTATATTATTTATGGTGTATAACTTTGTGCACCACTTAAAATATTTCTCTCTCGTCAAATATATGACTTACGAATCTGGAAAAAAA